TTCATTATATGCGAACTTTTTCAAAGTGAAATTGATTGAGTGACATACACTTTATATTAAATCGCAGTTCCGATTAGTCCTAACTGCCTACTAGTTTTACAATGCTGAATGTTAATTTGAGTTTATTGATGTTATTGCTTGTTGTGACACACAATATACCATTTTAAAATTCTGTTGTTTTTAATGTCTCTTCCTATATCAAGAAGAATGATCACTATTAGATAAACTTAGTTATTATATCAAACTAATTGAATCACAATTGAAATGGATTATCTCTGAAATAACTATAAGAAAGCGAGTGGTGTCAGGGATTATCAATAAAGTCTGTACTTGTACTTAACAGATTTGATATTTCACCAATTATACAATAAGTTCATAGTTGACGCTATAGTATGCAGGCATACTATGTGTTCTCTACTTTTAACAGAATTGTGTTTTTAATTTTTACATTCATATAAGTACATATAATTTTAACACAAAATTTATCGATGAATTAGCCAAGTAACATTTCTGTATTTACCTGATGAATTAGGTCATTCATCTAGAACATCACGTGTCCTTTTTCGTAGGAAATATATCTGTAAAGTAGAACATATGTGAAAGTAGACAGTGATTTTTTCCACTGATAGGCCAGATGGTACTTCAGGATACAACATCTCTTATTTTTGGATGGGGATGACCAATAATGACGTGAATAGTGTATGTGTCCTGGAAAAAAAATAACATTATTGTTTTTGTATATCTAGTTTTATGTGTTCTCAGATTCAGTAGGAGAAATATTTATGCTGCAGCCACAGGTACCTGTGATTGAGACTAAACACATCTCTCACTCAGCATTTAGCCTGGCATGGCCAGGTGGTTAGGGCGCTCAACTCGCAATCTGCGAGTCGCAGGTTCGAACCCCTGTCCCACCAAACATGCTCGCCCTTTCAGCCGTAAGAGCGTTATAATGTGACGGTCAATCCCACTATTCGTTGGTAAAAGAGTAACTCAAGAGTTGGCGGTGGGTGGTGATGACTAGCTGTCTTCCCTATAGTCTTACACTGCTAAATTAGGGACGGCTAGCGCAGATAGCCCTCGTGTAGCTTTGCGCGAAATTCAAAACAAACAAAAAAACACCCAACATTTAATGATATAACTAAATATGATCTGGACTATTTCCTAAAACATTTCAAGTAGGTTAATGCTTGGGATGGCTGTACTCAAGAACAAGCAGTGCTATACCTGATCTGGGGTCAAACCCTCGATTATATTGAGCACTCGTGTGAAGAGCAACTCTGAGACACTGTTGTAGCTGAGTTGCACCAATATTTTGAGCCACTGGAGAACCAAGCTATCAAGGTCGAAAGGGGGTTTTTACTGAGAGTTTGACTGCTTATGTGGATAACTTCTATTGTTTGCAAGAAAAGGCATAACCTGTAATGGTTTTGACAGGTTATGAAGATATCCTCGTAAACAAGTTCATCGATGGACTACCTGGTGAAGCAATGAGATATCACATAGGTGCAAGGGGCCTTCTCACCCTGGTTGAAACAGTTTCTGTGGCAATGAGCTTTGAAGTAATAGCTTCAAGTAAGTTGCAGGAAAGAAAGCAGCCCACGGTGGTAATTGCAGTAGCTGTATCTCAGATAGGCTGCCCTCCTGAAGTGAGTGCTTCAAGCCGACCACAAGATTCCCTATAGGTAAATCAAAAACCAGCGCTTTCTGATGCTGTGACACAACCCCACTGGCTACCAGTGAATGTACAGAGCTCCCCTGGTCCTCCCATTTTGTTTAGGGTACAACCAATGCTAATAATGTTTCTGCCTGGATGTTGCTCTGGAATGGAGAACCAAAGTATCTGCTTTGGGTATGGGCAAATGAGTCACCTTAAAGTGAACTGCATGTACCTTGCCATACAGCAAGATAGATGAGGCTACCAATTTCATTTAACTGCATAAAAGGTGCGGGAGGGTCAACAGCCAGCTGGAGCTGCTGCTACATTGACTCAGGTAAAGTGATAGGACCTATTTCAATTCTGGTATTTATTTCGGGTGTGTAGCAAACAGCTTGTTACAAAACGTTTGGTGTAAACTCAGCTCTCTCAGGGCTAATTGTCACATGGTATGTGTCAAAAAGGTACATGGGCGAGAGATAGAGTTCCTACATAATATTTAGAGCCATAATATTGGTTGATCTTGCTGTAGAACATGTGCTTTGAATGAAAACATCTATCTGGCCAGTTAACACTGGCTTCATTTTGGTAAATGGTGATAAGCAAGATGAGATTGGAGAAGCACACCTCCAACTATGTCTGAGTGATGTCAACTATAAAATGAAGGTAATCATCTCTGACCTTGGTACTGGCATTGGTATCCTAGTGAGGGATTTCTATGAGAAAGTCATCTGATGGTAATCAAACTGGGGACTACACAAATGCATGTATGGAGGAACTCACAGTACCTCCATATACACAAGTACTATTCCATAGCTTACTATGGACGAGTTCTAGTGAGTTAGTACCATGTAACATGGTTATAGAGTTCACACATGAAATACACTGTTTTCTATTCAGAAAATAGACAGCATTAGCTCAAACAGTTATGTCTGAGAATGGATGAAATCCTGGTATTGTTTTACAATTATGTGCAGTTGGCTATTCAGCTTTCTCCTGGAATATTCACCAACACGGTAGGCAAAATGAAGGTAAAGGGGAAATGTGTAGTATACAGGTATACTTTGTGTTTCCAATCCCTTATTTAATGGAAAATTAAAAAAAAAATTCTCTTGCATATAAGTGTATGTAGAACGTTGGTCAATAAAGTAGCTAAGTTCCTTTGGCTCTAGTTACCTATTGACCTGGACCATCCACCCACTGTATAATGTGTGCTTTGCCATGTGTAAGACTTGTGTAAAGTGGAATATACTCTGTGAAAGTAGACAGTGATTTGTTTTCCTTGGAAGGGTAAATTACTACGTTTGTGATAATTTAAGGTTATACCTTCACATAGCTACCTGATCTCCTCAAAAATGAGTGGTTCTTGGTTTTAGTATGTGGAAATAAGAGTGCAGTAATGTGTAGCAAGTGGGCTGAAAGAGACAAGACGTGGTTTTGAAGTGTGAATAACATACTCATTTTATTTATCGAAGAAAACTGAAGAATGACTGATTGTCCAGGTGGAAGTAGTGATAGAAAGTTATTCTGCGGAACCTAACAGATCACTGAGAAGAAACATCAGTGCACCTGAGAATATCAAAATGCTAATAATATTACTTAAAACAGCCAATAAAGGAAATTTCACGGTAATAACACTAAAAATAACTAGGCACGTTATACCTGACGTCAATCATCTACATTTAGAATAACCGATGGAGTTCCCATTTCATATCAATAAAACAAGAAGAACGGCCCATTTTAATGTTGATGCTACTAAAAACAACCGACCGAATTCGTTTTTGGTAGTGAATAAACAGGTATAAAATTAAAAACAATACAGCAATATTTGAAATCTCTGAAAACACACAGAGAATGTGTGTTTATTTTAGTGCAAAGATACACAATGGGCTATCTTCTAATGTTAGCATTTTTAGTCTTCAAACTTACCGCTGACCCACTGGGGGACAGAGAGAGAATATGTAAGGAACATAAAGTCAGAAAAGTAGTCAGAAGCCACAACACAATACGATCACAATTAGTATACACTAATCCACCGAAACACCCACTTGAAAGGTAAAATACCATCCACAACATCTTCTGTAAATGTGGATACCAATACGTCATAGAAATAAATAGCCTAACTAAAGTCAGAATTAAACAGCATAATACAAAGAACACTCGATAACACCGATATTTTTATTTATTTTTTTGTATTAGCACATCATACCAGAGAAGAAGATTATACAATAAACTGTAATAGGGCTAAATAATAGAATATGCATCCCACATAATAAAAATTCAAATGAAAGAACTTCCTCATAACTGATAACACACCAGCAAAACCTGGATACCTATCTCGTGAATGAAGCACCAGACTTCCATCAAAAGGACACAGGATTAAATCCCGGCTACTGCCAACAGAGAAAATAGTCCTTCTCGCGCCTTCCCTAAAGTCGACAGCAGATTAGCAGACAAAACATGGATAGAGGTACAACGTTTGCTGTAGTTAGTAAATATCCATAGTAAATACTGGGTGGAGGCACAATGTTTACAGTAAAACCACATTATCTAATAGATATTCATAAGAAATACTGGTGGAGGCGCAAAATAATTTATGTGGAAGTTTCATGTTGATTTCTAATATTTTTACTAATAAATATTTAAATATTATGAAATTACAATAAAAACCAAGTTCTTTTCAAGACTTATGTCTGTTTGTTTATTCATGTATTTTATTTGTACGTGTTGCGTAAGTAATTCTATTGTATTAACACATCTTATGAAGGACTCCTGCTTGTATTGGCAGATCTTATGAAGGACTCCTGCTTGTACTGGCAGATCTTATGAAGAACTCCTGCTTGTATTGGCAAATCTTATGAAGGACTCCTGCTTTGAATGATTTTTACAAAGGATGACGTTTGTTTTTTAAAAAAGGATTCACTATACAACTCCAATCAATGTCCACTACGACAACCAACGTCGTTAGAGCAAGTTGTACGATCTTCTAGCACAGTGTTTCTTAAACGTTTTTGTTGCTGACCACCTAATTTTTTAAATCTAGACAGACAACAATGGGATCTATACACTGTGCTTCCGTTTCCTTTAACCTTTCCACGAACCACCTGAAAGAATCCCCGAACTACAGATTGAGAACCACTGTTATAACACAATAATGTTTAAAATTCCAATAAATCAAGTAGCTATATTTTATTACGTCATTAGCTTCGTACTTGTTGAAGGAAGAAGATCACATGGTTACCTTTTACTATTTCCGCATTGTTATTCCACTGCAGAGTCTCAGCGCGCTCGTATGAAGCCACAGCAGTATATAAAGGCGTCTTTAAAATAATGACAGGAACAAACCAATCTCAGTGAGTGAACTCCGCTTCGGTTGGTCCGTTAAAACGACAGTAGTGAGTGCGTAACATCCGAAACAGATAGCGAAGTCTTACCTAACTTGCACACACTCACTGTTGTTTCGGTTACGTACTACGTATTAGCCATAACAGCCAGAGAAGTTATAAAACATTAGTCCGTCTTATTACTCTCCGTATTGGTGTAAACAAGAAGGGTGCGTAAACTGAGCACTAAACCTGTTTTTCTTCTGACGATTTACAATGAGCAGACCTACTTCATTCTGGAATAATTTGAAAACTACGTTTGGTCGACCAAGAGACAAAACTGATGGAGTTAAAGAAAATGGAGAAAATGGTCACATTATTCCTCTTAACACAATAGATAGTAATATGAAGACAGCTGCGGACGATTGCGAAAAGAATACTATAGCAACAGAATCAGGAGATCTACCAGAGCGAGGGACCTGGAGTACAGGAAAATTTGGCTTCATATTCGGCTGTCTCAACTATGCTGTCGGGTTAGGCAACGTGTGGCGATTTCCATATTTATGTTATGAAAACGGAGGAGGTAAGATATTATTAAATTTGTTAAAGTTTAGATGTTTGTTTTGTTTGTTTGTTTGTTTTTAATTATGCACAAAGCTACACAAGGGCTATCTGTGCTCTGCCCACCACGGGTATCGAAACCCGGTTTCTAGCGTTGTAAGTCCGCAGACATACCGCTGTGCCACTGGGGGGCAAGTTTAGATGACTTCAATAGTTTAAGACTGTAAAATTGTATTAAATATTTGAAGAGCGTAAATGATATAAATTATAAACACGTGTATTCATGCGTATTCTTGAAAAAGTTAACGTACTTTAAGTTGTTGTTTGTTATTAAACACAAAGGGCTATCTGTGCTCTGCCCATCACGTGCATCGAAACTCGGTTTCCAGCGGTATAAGTCCGCAGACATGCCGCTGTGCCGCAGGGCATCAGTACTTTAAGAGACTCAAATAGCTTAAGAGACCTGGCTGTGTTTATACAGTAAGATGCACTAGACTCGCAATTTGCGGGTCGTGGGTTCGAATCCCCACCACACCAAATATGCTCGCCTCTTTTAGCCGTGGGGGCGATATAACGTGACAGTCAATCCCACTATTCTTTGGTAAAAGATTAGCTCAAGAGTTGGCGGTGTTGACTAGCTGCCTTCCCTCTAATCTATCGCTGTTAAATTAGGGACAGCTAACGTAAATAGCCCTTCTGTAGCTTTGCGCGAAATTCAAAGCAAACCGAATATTGGAAAGAACAATGGAACTTTTTCAAACGTTGTATACATAAATTTAGAAAGACTTATATCTTGGATTTTTCACGTCATAAAATTTCTTTTATTTTCACAATATCTGCAATTACTGGTATTAATATGGTTCGGAAACAATGCTGACGTATTATTAGACAGGTTTATAAATCACCTTCACATGTTGCGATAAAAGTGCTTTGTTCCGTACGAAGCTGTTACAGAGTCGTGATTCCAAACAAACAGTACTGATCAAACTTCAATATGTGTTGAATATGTTATTTTCATCCATATTATGCGTCTCTCTGTGTTATATTTTGAGTAAATAAAATGGATTCCTATTATGGATTTTTTTTGAAAAAAAAAGACCAGTATGCAAAAATTAGTCATTTAAAGTTTGCTTGTTTTTGTTAGATTAATGAACAAGTCTTCTTACGTGTTAAAACTACTCAATTTTAATTACTTTCGGTTACTTTCATTGAGTGAGCTATAAAATTAAACTTTCTTCTTGAATACTTTTGTCACTAAGACGCTTCTTCTTCAAATTCTAAAATACAAAACTCTTTTCATATACACTTAGTGGAGGCCGGAACTCTGATAAATGTTCTTTTATTCCAAACATAGGTTTAGTTTTTCCTTCACTGTTTCTATGTCTAAAGATAAGTTATTGCATGTGGAATCAGGAAAGTGTTTAATTCTCAAAATTCCATATTTCTATTAAGTAATAATTCCGGTAGATGACAACACGAGCTCCTCCAGATAATCTAATTCCTTATCTGACGTGTTTACAGAAAACCAATAGCGCTAGTGGTTTAAAAATGCGACTTTTCCCCAGTAAGAGACTTTTCAACTACGTACAATAACTGAGTGATGCTTCTGTTAATTTGAAGGGAAGAACTTTAAAATTGAGGCTCATGTTTCATGTCAAAACGGTATCCTGAAGGAAAGAACTTGAGGCTCATGTTTCATATTAAAACGGTATCCTGAAGGGAAGAACTTGAGGCTCATGTTTCATATTAAAACGATATCCTGAAGGGAAGAACTTGAGGCTCATGTTTCATATTTAAACGGTATCTTGCTGCTACTAATATATTTTTATTAGTTCTTGAGTGCAACTATGAATGATCCTTTATACTCAAAGCAGACATTTTTCTGTACCAATGAGCCATTTTCAGTACTTTGCACATTTGGTATTACCAGGATCATTTTCTTCATTTACGAGTTGTATCCACTTCAAAACAATTCTTTGTACAAGTTAATTTTGCTAAACTCAACAGAAGAAACTACTAAACGTAATAAATAAATACATACAATTATAATCTGAAATTTGAGTTGAAATGCTAGTCAATCAAATAAATTTTATAAAATAGCCTAAACTCGCAATCACTGTACTCTAACTTTTCCAAATTTGTAGAGGATTACTTTTCTATTACTTATTGTTTTTACTCAACAGTAAACTTTCACTCATAAAACAGCTCCATATGAATAAAAAACTGATTAAAAAGCAAGATATTTTATTTGAACCAAATCGACACGTTGGCATTAAATATATCCGACTTTAAAACTGGCCTTTCAACTTTAGGTTTGCTAATTTTAGTCTTTCCAAATTACTACACTTGAACTCAATATATTTTTCATATTATTTGATATAAATTTCATTGCAAAAAAAACTCGGATTCTAGACTTACATAATCAAAATTTCAAAATGATATATTTTCAAAATTGTGTGATATAAGAATCCAATTACTTGCCACTAAAACGTAATTTTAATTCCATTTACTCAGCTCAAAACTTTCTCCGACAAAAAAAAAAGATATTTGACAATGATAGAGTTATATATAAATAATATAACGATTAGTCTTATAACTCTTCAAATGAAGAATGCAAGGTTACCCGTATTTTATGAGCGGTAATCCAATAGTTGTAACTTTGACTATGACAGATAAAGCAGAATGTATTAATCAAGAACGCGTCCTTAGTTAAAAGTTACTATATTAATTCAAAACAAAAGCGAAGAACAAGAATAATGTTTATTATTTAATGGAATAAAACTGTAATTTCGACTGGTAAACGGGTTCTGTACTTTGTCTAGTAAAACTTGCCTTAATAAACGACGTTCGTTTCTCTTTGAACAGAAAAAGTTGATGAAAAAGTAATGTGGGACAAGATCGTAAAGGTTAAATGTATAGCTTATGTTTTGTCATGTGTTTCTTTCGAGTTCAATTACCTCCAGTACACTTCGAAACACAGCTTAAGGAACGAAACTGTCGAAATTCGTAGATTCTTTTAATAAATAAACCTTGATGAAATACAGCCTACTCTGTGATTAGGAAACAACTGCGAATTTTTTCGTTTTTGTATGACTGCACGTGTAATACGTGAAGTCAACAATGGAGTGTGAACTTGCGTTCCTACGTGTCTGATCTCGCTCTGGAAATGATCCAAAAAGAGGTTTTTGAATCCATTTGTGGTGTCTTGGTTTTTAGATATCATTTTTCGCTTTGCGGGAACATTTTAAGTTCAAATGGGTCTGAGCTTCACACTAAGATTGAACTTTGTGATGTATTAATGCTGATTACTTAAAAAACTCGCTTGAATGAAAATTGTGAACAGAGACGTGGAAATCAGTTTTAAGAAGTCTTTTTGTTCTAAATGATCTTGATGAAAAACGACACAGAACAACTCTTTCACATCTGAGTGACACTCTTGTTATATTAATTAAAAGCTACACATTCCCGTCTCAGTCAGAAATGTCCTTGAATATGAACATTTAATACTCACCTAAGTCCTCTATTACCTTCAATACGAATAAGCCACACTTTAATTTCTTATATGAGTTTGGTAAAAGTTGTACACTTTCTCTGTTGATGTTGCATGATGAGAGGTGAAAATGATTCAAGATTTTATATCAAATAAATTTTAATAAAATAAATAAAAATTACAGTAAACAGAAAATAAAATTGGCTGTATGCTCTAGCGCAGTGGAAATCTTTATATTTTATTCTTGTCTATAGCTTATAACTCTATCGTGTTATTCAGTGTTATGTTAAGGAAAATATGTTTAGCCTTGAAAGGAACTTTGATAAACGTTGTCCTCACGGAGGAGTCAAAATGGTATGTTACCAGTTTTCTCATAGATATAGGTAACATACATAGTTTTATGTTTTAATAGGTCATGCGTTTTCCATGAAGACTCTGAGAAACCAAATGTTGTCTTGAAAACGTCCAGAAGTTATTTCCATATCTGACTTCTAGGTGGACTAAGTGTCTGACGCACTATATAACATTTCGTGCATGATTTTACAAATGAGAACTGTAACCAATATTAAACAAATACTGTGTTGAAAACCATTATATATATATAGTCCTCACTTAAGTCTAACTAGTTTGATTCCTACATCAGTAACATAGCAACAGCATGAAATGGATAAACTTTGGATGTACTCGGCTATATGTGTATTAATGTTCTACAGGATGACTAATTAGTAAAAATAAAACATTTATTGTGTAATATTTCCTTGATTACGAGCTTACCATAAATCCTCTTAAATTATTTTACTATTGTCATGATTCAAATTAAAGTGTTTACATTAGTTAGTCCCACGTGGATCAACGATAAGTCTGAGGGCTTATAACCCAAAAAGTCTGGTTTTGATACCCGCAGTGGGCAAAGCACAGATAGCCCATTATGTAGCTTTGAGCTTAATAACAAAGAAACAATACATTCGTTAACTTTAAAAAAATGATATGAACCATTTGCAAGCAAAAATACGGTTTATTTGTCTTTAAGCTCAGAGATACCCAATAGGCAGAAACCGAACCTTAACTTTTAGTGTTGTAAATCCCCAAGCTTGCCGCTTAGACACTAAAGCAGGAGTTTCCAAAACTTTTTTTTCACTAACGAAATCCTAACCCACTTACTTTAAGTTTCGCGACACCCCTGCTGCCAAATGCAATATTTTTTTGCAGAGTTTTTTTATGTTCTCAATTATTCTCACTTTAATGAAACTCTAGCGACACCCCTAGTAACTTGACGTGACATACTAGTGTATCGCGACTCAGACTCACTGTTTGGAAACCGCTGCACTAGGAATGCAGAAGTATTTTGATTTAACGCCAATTTGACAAACATTTGTGATAATGAAGATGAAACATGAAGTTAATGGTAGTTTTCTGATATTTCCACTCAGGTTGTTGAAAGTACGTTACAGACACTTAAAATGTTGAACAATATTACTTAGGTAAACAGAAATGTAAATATTGTTTTTTTACCAAATCCGCAGAAATTGGTGGTTAGGCTACAGTTCAACAGCTTGCTTCGAAAGGGTTCGTGTTTTTAGGAAACACCAAATATCTTTCATTCATAAAACAGAGTGGCTTACGGGTGTATTGTAATACATTCATGTTATTTAGAGAGTAGTTTATAGGGGGTGTTACAACACTTTAATATTATTCAGAGTAATTTAATACAACATGAAAATAATTAACAAATTAATTCAAAAGTTGAAGTTTCACTAAAATTAGACAGAGCAGGAAAAGCTTTTGTTTAATCAAAACACAACTTCATAAAATTTGACCATCTTCCTAATAAATGATAAAAGTAAGATCCATTTAAAAAAAAAGTATAACATAGTTAATTTGCAAAATTAAAAACGCATGACCCATAATCCGTACACGGTGAACAGATACATTTATACAAGGATATTTTGACACCGTTAGGTTAAGTTTTTTTTATTTATCATAGACCGTGAGTGAATGCATATTTATAATTTCTTATTTCGGTGGAATGGCCCGGCATAGCCAGGTGGTTAGTGCGCTCGACTCGCAATCTGCGGGTCGCAGGTTCGAATCCCCATCACACCAAACATGTTCGCCCTTTCAGCCCGGGGGGCGTTATATTGTGATGGTCAATTCCACTATTCGTTGGTAAAAGAGTAGCCCAAGAGTTGGCGGTGGGTGGTGATGACTAGCTGCCTTCCCTCTAGTCTTACACTGCTAAATTAGGGACGGCTAGCGCAGATAGCCGTCGTGTAGCTTTGCGCGAAATTCATAACAAACAAACAATTTCGGTGGAAAATTGAAGTCTCAGTTCCTGAGTAATAAAGCTGTATTATACTTCAGTAATGTAAAGATTGTGCAGTATTTGTAGCAGAATAGTTATCATATACTTAATGTAATAAAGTATAAGTTATGTAGGTTATTACTTCACAATTATAATATAAATAACAAATTATAATAGTGGGTTTATGAATGTGGTTTTTACCTGGACAAACTCAGAAATATTTTATATTTTTAAGAAAAGTGATGAAAATAAGAGAGAAAAAAGTATCAGAAATTAAATATATATTTTTCAATTCAACAAAAATTAAGCAGGACCATAATTAAAAATACCACCATAAACGAGAATCGTGACCCTGGTTTAATTTTGCATTGAATTCAAATACAAAATTGAATAATTTTTTTATTTCGTATCTTTTATTCACTTATTATATATTAAAAATATGTTAGGGCTGAACATTTCCAATGGATTAGATGACTACACAACTTGGTCTCTTAACAGAACCTGCGATCATCGATGTATTTAATACTATAATGTATTAGGTTACTTAGCAGTTTCTGATTGACAGTCTGAGAGTTTAATTACAAGTTCTTCGTTAGCACATGTGTTATATAAGATCTTAATAAAAATTAAAAACAACAGTCATGAAAGTAACTCGCTAAATGTGAATGAAAAGAAGCTGACTATATTACATGAAAGAATGTCTTTATTGTCTGTTTTCATCGTCGTTGTCTGCTTCTAAGCCAAAAATACAGACAAGCTTCTTCGTCGTACATATCTGGAGTAGGGGTGACTAACCTCCATCTAGTAATAATGGCTGGAGACGGCTTAAATGGGTAATGAAGAAAAACTTTAATATAAGTTTAACATGACAGCAAATGTACAACGTTCTATCGCTTAAAAGAAACCTAAAATAATAAGGTATCATACGAGCACCTCTGTATATACATTTTAATTGTACTCAATACGTTGGGTGAGTTCTTTTATGAAACTGTTAGTAGAAAGGGAAGTGTTTCACACTGGCATACACACCAACACGTTACTATGGATGTATAGACTGACAGCAAACTAAAAATCTCTTAATAATGGCTCTAGTGATTTAAGATTGTTCAATAAAATAAAAATTATTTTTGTATTCTATATATCGTGTATGGTATTTTTGTTTCTTTAAAGTAAAACGTTGGGAACATATAAAGTTCCGTGAGTGATTTTGTACTGTTGGTATCGTATGTGGTATTTCTCTTCATTAAACCACAAATAGTGATTTAAAGATGTTTTATAAGTACTTTCATGTTATTCAGAGAGTGGTTTATAGGTTTGTTGTATGTACTTTCATGTTATTCAGAGAGTGGTTTATAGGTTTGTTGTATGTACTTTCATGTTATTCAGAGAGTGGTTTATAGGTTTGTTGTATGTACTTTCATGTTATTCAGAGAGTGGTTTATAGGTTTGTTGTATGTACTTTCATGTTATTCAGAGAGTGGTTTATAGGTTTGTTGTATGTACTTTCATGTTATTCAGAGAGTGGTTTATAGGTTTGTTATATGTACTTTCATGTTATTCAGATAGTAGTTTATAGGTGTGTTATAAGCACTTTCATGTTATTCATGGCTATTTTTCGATATGACTATTTTGAGATAACAACAAACTATACTCATACAATACATATTTGTCGTAAAAATCATTTTTACCACGAAAGGGAAATTTTTAGATCACAAGGTAAACCATGTTTGAATGGGTATTTTTGTGACATTTTTCATATTAATTATTTCCAATGTTTAAAAAAATTATAAAAACTTTAATGAAAATATTACGGTTTTAATGACTTCTAGTTTGACTTATCAGTGTCTACTGTGCCTTGAAAAAAATTCGAGAAGAACTTATAGAAAGCAATATCTAAAGAACAAAAACTGTACAGACGTAGATTGACATAAAAATACTGAAAATGAGACAAAAAGGGTATTATCCAGTAAAACTTCCAAAACAATACATAATTTTATTCATATGGTATATTTACTCTGTTAGTTATTTTGTTTGTTTTGGAATTTCGCGCGAAGCTACACGAGGGCTATCTGCGCTAGCCGTCCCTAATTTAGCAGTGTAAGACTAGAGGGAAGTCCGTCACATTATAACGCCCCCACGGCTGAAAGGGCGAGTATGTTTGGTGGAACGGGGATTCGAACCCGCGACCCTCAGATTGCGAGTCGAGCGCCCTAACCACCTGGCCATGCCGGGCTCTACTCTGTTAGGGTAAAAATAATTATTAATCTTATTGTGACATAATATCACAGAAGACAGAATTTACTTTTCCTTCTATTGCAATATTATTCCCCTGATTCTTTATAGATCACCGTATATATGTATTTTTTCTATCTTTTATATATAGATTCTAGGGTAATAGAATTAGTGAACACTTTCCGGGAGACCACTAGAAAGGATTGGAAACATAATCATATAATTTATGCGCATAAACAAAGAAGTAAAATATCGCGAAGAAGAAATGAAACAGTTTTAAAGACTGTGTTTAATTAAAATAGATTCTGCTTCCAGTATATCTTTAGTTTGAGATATGTGTGGTTTCTATCCAGTTCATCAGTGTAAAATATACATAAATCTTATTCAGTTTCTCCATAGACAAACTTTTCAGACATCTTAGAAGCTGTTCATGTGGAAATATGTTTTTGAAAGACCTAAGTAAATATATATTTATATATTGTTTAGTTTATGTATTGTTTTTTTTATCTTTTTACATGTAAGTTTTATTAATTTAACAACTTGTTTAAAAAACAGTTCTGTGTATTATTCTATATTTTGTTTCCCCACAGGAGCTTTCTTGTTGCCTTATTTCCTGAGTATCATTCTATGTGGAATACCTCTATTTATAATGGAAGTATCTATAGGCCAGTTTATGAGCACAGGCGGAATAGCTGTATGGAACTTGGTACCTATTCTAAAAGGTAAGGTAAAGCGAAAGCTGATTTATTAAATACCCATTATAAAAGGTGGGCTAAGAAAAGAAGTGGTCTTAGAACCTTAGAGCAAAAAAGGCATCAGCCAATTACCTATTGTATATTGTAAATCAAAAAGACGACCAGTTTATTGCATATGATGAAAGTTATGGAAATGCAAATATAGAACTTGATACCTACCTCACAAGTCTGTCATTCAAAAAGAAATAAATACCTTCGTGAGTATTATAAAAGTTAAGGCATTGAGATTATTCAAATTGGTATTTCCAAAGAAAGGTGTAAGGGAAGTAACTTTCATGCCTATTGTACAACGTAAAACAGAAAGGAAATATCTTGATACATATTATACAACGTACGACAGAGGAGGAGAAACTTTGATACTTCTTATAGTACAACGTAAGATAGAAGGGGAACACTTTGATACTTATAGTACAACGTAAGATAGAAGGGATTCTATCGTGTAATGTAAGGTGGTAGAGGAAACTGCTGAATACTTATTGTATAATGTAAAGAACACATAAACCACTTGGTTCGTATTTTGTAATATATGTCAGTAGAGGTGAAAACTTGGTATCTGATACACAAGGCAAGTAGTATTAGAAGACAGCTTCGTTTCATGGTATCCGATACACAAGGCAAGTAGTATTGGACGACAGCTTCGTTTCAAGATATCCGATACACAAGGCAAGTAATATCCGAAGACAGCTTCGTTTCAAGATATCCGATACACAAGGCAAGTAATATCGGAAGACAGCTTCGTTTCAAGATATCCGATACACAAGGCAAGTAATATCGGAAAACAGCTTCGTTGTATGGTATCCGATACACAAGGCAAGTAGTATCGGAAGACAGCTTCGTTTCATGGTATCCGACACACAAGGCAAGTAGTATCGGAAGACAGCTTCGTTTCATGGTATCCGATACACAATGCAAGTAGTATCGGAAGATAGCTTCGTTTCATGGTATCCGACACACAAGGCAAGTAGTATCGGAAGACAGCTTCGTTTCATGGTATCCGATACACAATGCAAGTAGTATCGGAAGACAGTTTTGTTTTATTTACGAAAGAAAATCCAGAAGTGGAAGCCAGATTTGTATCTATTATAATAGGAAAAGTTGGCGGACTCTCGAGCTTTACTTATCATAATATACTTGAGAATAATTTAGATTATCATTGCATGTGTTATAATGATTATACATTTAGCTTGTTTAACAAGAAATATGATAACTCTAAATATAAATAAGCATGTTATTATACTTATAGATCACAGTAAAATAAATTGTGTTTTAACCAGTTTTCGAAGGACATTTCATTTTTGAAGAACGCCATTAGTTGAGTTGAAAGGAAATGAGAACGCTTTTTTAAATTCCATTTGAAACTCCAGCGTCTAAAATGCATTACATCCGTGTGACAACGGATACTACAGCAACAATGTGCATTTCATCTATTACACTGGCCACTTACCGGGTAATTGCATTATTGAGGCTTAGAATTGTACGAGACTTTCAACGATACACGCGTGATTTCGGACATTCCCACAACCAGAAATGAGCAGATTGCCATTCACAAGGAAAATAACGTGAAATGATTCTGTTGCGAAAGAGGGGTTTAACCTAGCTACCAATATGTAGAGGGGCACCCCCCCCCCTGCATGAAAGCCATAGTATCTATCACTTTTCTTTGCTGCAGCATGAAAATCACATTGGATTTGAGCATCACTGCCGCGCAGGTTTGCAGTCCATGTGTTAATGGCTAACATCACTGTTCAACAAGAAAACCATCTGTAACACCACATCACACTGTCATCTTGGCATCATGGGGGTGTGTAGGAAATGTTACATGTAAATTATTTTCCCTCCAGACAATATAGTTGCACGTGTTGACACTTCCAGAAAGTGTGAAGTGTGCTTCACGAGTCCATCAGATAATGGCAAGTCATTGGTAATTAGTTGTCCCTCTTGGATTGTAATCAGCCGATTGCTTTCTCTTTACTGCGATTTCACAAGTAACACATTCTCCGTGTCTTAGTTTTAAAACAGTTTCAGGTGAAGAACAATCAATTAAATCTTAAGGACAAGCAACACTTGACCCTGGACGTTTTGAACTAGTAAAACAACTGCCTATTCCTCCAAGTAGTTAATCCGGCCATGTGATGTATAGAGAATAATCAATATATAAAGAGTGAAGAACTATTGATAGCTAATGTGGTACTAAAAAACAAGGCATTAAAGCGATTAAGTGGAAGCCTAATAGAAAAGGTAAGGCACAGTAGGCACTAATAGGTAAGGTATTAAAAAGACCAACTTTGATATCTACTGAGAAGCACAAAAATGTTAAATAACGTGAATAGTAAAGCAGGAGGCTGAGATGACATTGTGACTGTGTTATGTGTTGCGACACTAAGAAGATTCATATTGTTACCTATTCATGACAGAAAACGAAATATCTAATTTCAAATTGTCTGCGAAATCTTATAGGTTTTAAGTTTTTGTAAGTTGTGACTAATCGTAAACACTCAGATATAATAAAAAATTAAAACATATTTGAGTTTGTTTTAATGTTTTAAGCAAAGTCACATTGGGCTATCTGCTGTGTCCGCCGAGGGGAACCGAATTCCGGATTTTAGCATTGTAAGTCCATAAGGTTACCGCTGTCCCACAAGGGGATATATGCCTGAGACTCAGAATTATATGATTTTCATCTTATCAAGTTAGATATGTGTGACATTTTTTACGATGTGACCTAAATCATACCCAAATGATCTTTAGTTAACTCAGCTGTAATAAGACGATGGTTAATTTAGTTTTTATTTGCGTTTTCAATATAAATGATTAAGTATGCTCAATATCAACATTTTAAAAACTATTACAACCTTACTGTACCAACATCAAATTCAAATTACTGTTCTATGAAAAAGATTCCCCACCTCGAACTGTCGCAACGGTAAATATTAATTCTTATAACGCTAAAAACTGGGTTTCGATACCCTTGACGAGCACAGAACAGACAGCCCATTGTGTGGCTTTGCGATTTATTACATCTAACCAAAATGAAAAGCACAAAAGATGTATTACACGTATTGAGTATGGTTAACACAACTTCATAGTTTTTACAGTATTAACTATAAGTGGTCACAAAAGGTCGAACGTCCAAACACAATCTACCCTTGATCAAGCTATTCATTTCGATTCGAAAATTTGAGGTTATGCCACACTTTTAGAAGTGATGGTTATGTTTACAATAACTTGTTTTACATATAGCCTTATTTCTTTCTTTATAGACCTACTTCCGAGTAAGATGGAAAAAATAGTGTGTGATGCCATTAAAATGATTTCTTGTGTTTTCTATGTTTTTTTAATGATAAAATTATATATTTTCAGAATACATTGTGCTTTTATGGTAACATGTCTCATTTCGTGGATTCAATGGCTTAATATACACTTCTTTAATATATACAATGGCTTAATATATACTTCTTTAATATATACAATGGCTTAATATATACTTCTTTAATATATACAATGGCTTAATATATACTTCTTTAATATATACAATGGCTTAATATACACTTCTTTAATATATACAATGGCTTAATATACACTTCCTTAATATATACAATGGCTTAATATACACTTCCTTAATATATGCAATGGCTTAATATATACTTCTTTAATATATACAATGGCTTAACATACACTTCTTTAATATATACAATGGCTTAATATATACTTCTTTAATATATACAATGACTTAATATATACTTCTTTAATATATACAATGGCTTAACATACACTTCTTTAATATATACAATGGCTTAATATATACTTCTTTAATATATACAATGGCTTAATATATACTTCTTTAGTGGTCCTATTTTTATGGGTTTTTGCACTTACAGACAAAACTTCCCTAGATGCTTTTATTCCTAAACCCAAATTATAGGTGAATACGTCATTACATTATAACTATTAATTACTTTTTGCTCCACATATTTTGATATATGGTGTTAAATATATTTGTTGTCTTCTTCATCAGGTATTGGTTTTGCTTCCATGACCATGATTGGATTATGTAATATCTACTACATTGTACTCATTGCGTACACGTTGTTTTATTTGATCAACTCCTTTCGAACTCAGTTACCATGGGAAAAATGTGGAAACAGCTGGAACTCACACAGGTGTTTTGAAGCTGGTAATAATACCGAAGCTGCGCTGACAGCCAAAAATCTGACCCGTAATGACACCATTTCCCCCGTAATGGAATACTGGGAGTAAGTGTAGTTTAAGGGAGTTTAGTATTTTGTATAGTAAAAAATAACTTGAAGCATGTGTTTGTAAAGGTGATTATTTTATTTTCTCGTTATTTGTATTTCTGAGCACGTAAGTCCATCCTGTAAATACGAAAGCTTTTATCACTTAAATCCTAAACAACAATTAAACGATGCTGAAAGTTAGTAAGTAGTGAGAATTTAGTAACACATACTTGACTTAGTACTTGCTTTTAAAGTTATTACAAAAAAATATTTTCAGACGTTTCATATTTCATACTAGCTGGAGTACCCCTCCCCTAGACGGAAGTTATGTAAATTCGTAATTAATCAAAAGGTTTTCTTAGGACACGAAAAGTTGCTTCCCTTATATGTAATTGTAAAAAACGCCCATAAGAACTGCAAAACACAAAATGTGAAACCGCAAGTTTGTATGTATCTCTCCATGGACCCAATGAACCACGATATCAAATTTGGTGAAGGTCCATATAAAGGGGACGAAGTAGTGGTAAAAAAAGGCAAAACTGAAAATGTGTATGTATCTCCCCATGGACCCAGTAAAACTCCATACCAAATTTGGCGAAGATCCATCTACAGGGGGGCGAAGTAGTGGTAAAAAATGCCCATAAAAACCGCATAACGCAAAATGCAAAACTGAAAATTTGTATGTACCCTCTCATGGACCTAATGAACCTCCATTCTAATTTTGGTGAAGAGCCATCCACACCCTGCGAAGTAGTTACATGAACATACAACAGACAGTACTGTTATATTTATATAGATCACAGTGCATTAGGCCTATAATGGCGACACCTAGATCAGCTTAAGCTAGTAAAAAATTTTAGGAATTGTTAATTTTTCCAGTTTATTCTTACGTCCAATCTTGAACTCATATTTGTAAAAACAAAAATTTAAGTTAATGTGTAAACTCATCACGTTACGTGATTTATGTACCTTTATATTTTCGTTTATTAATTGTTTAAACTGCACATCTTTTCGCTTTTCAAATCTTATTCACTTCATACAGAAGTGTATGAATGATTTTGTTATATATATCATTTACATTTGGATTTGCTTCGTGCCTACCAGTAAATGCTGCTCAGTTTATTCAACAAAGCTGAGGGCTCAAGCAAAATACGTGTTTCATGTGTGATGTATAATATTGTTAATATTTTATTATTTCAGAAACCATGTATTACGCCTAACTTCAGGACTCCATGATATAGGCGAGTTGAGAGTGGAACTAGTTTTTCTGCTTTTGCTGGCCTGGGTTTTAGTCTATATGGTAATCTGGAGAGGTTTACACCAAAGTGGGAAGGTAAAACTCGCTCATGTAATTTTGAAGTTAAGAAAAAAATAACCGCACTTTGAATAAATAAATCAAAAACACCACCCCAAACTAGGAAAGAATTGTGACCAAGCACGAGTATAATTGTATTACTGCTCTGTCATTTTTGTAGTCCATCAATTTCCTGGCATAAAACTTTGGATTTCAAAAATAATTATGCTAAGAGAAATATAGTAGTCAGTCAGCAGTGGCAAAATGGGGGTACTTGACTAGATATGGCGATAATACAATAATTTAGTTTGTTTTGAATTTCGTGCAAAGCTACACGAGGGCTATCTGCGCTAGCCGTCCCTTATTTAACAGTGTAAGACGGGAAGGCAGCTAGTCATCACCACCCACCACCAACTCTTGAGCTACTCTTTTACCAACGAATAATTGGATTGACCGTCACTTTATAACGCCCCTAAGGCTGAAAGAGCGAGTATGCTTGATGTGACGGGGATTCGAACCCGCAACCCTCAGATTGCGAGTCGAACCACCTGGCCAATAAAATAATATAATTTACAGTTACTATATATGTCAAATATGTAAAAGTCCCAACGCCTCTGAATACTGTATATTATTGATTGAAAATATGTGTGAGATTCTGGTTTATAAAACAACACTTAGCTGAAGTTTACATGAAATTAAGATTTTGATTTTCTAAAAAGATAAATAGTAAATTTGAAACTACTGTATATGTAATGTTATTGAATAAGCAAGAACATGATAGGTAAGTACAGACAGTTCTTTAAATATGTAAACGTAATAGCAGTGTACAAGTAGAGTGTATAAATATAGTCGTCGTATGTGAAAATACTGATAGCAAATAAACATTAAAATAATGATTTATCAAAAATGAACAGACATGTACGTTTGCTGTTTGGAAAAAAATAATTAGTAAAGCTTATTGTAGTATGTATATGGCTTAAAGCAGTGGTTTAACACCAGGGTTCCGCGAAGGGTCGTCTAGGGTTCACTACAAAGATAACGGGTAATGGCGTTTTTTTTTTTCAGTTATTGAATACTAACCCGCCAGGGACCAAATGTATTTTAAACAATCGTGATTCACATAATATTCAGTCTTCTCCACACACAGTTTACAATTTTACATTAACAGTATCGTTACTAACATGCTCACTGTCATCTAAACTAAGGCCCCCCAGTGGCACAGCGGTATGTCTGCGGACTTACAACGCTAGAAACCGGGTTTCGATACCCGTGGTGGGCAGGGCACAAATAGCCCTTGTGTAGCTTTGTGCATAATTAAAAACAAACAAACATGTAAGCTAGGCTTTAATGGTGAAGTAAGGGTTGGGGTCCGAGACAGAAGGAATGAAATAAGAAGGTTCCATGTCTTCGTAAGATTTGGGGATCTCTGGCTTAAAGTATGGGAACATTAGGATTACTTATAACATGTGAAGACAAACAATACTGTCCATTGATTATAGATACATAGAAATGTTCATGTGTTTTAAAAGTATATTTTAACACGATATATTAAAAAAAAACACCATTTTACTTGAAAATGTCCAGCGAGTATTGTTGTCATGTTGTTTTACCACTGAGTAACTTTATAACAATATTACAAATTTCTTAACATATATTTTTGTTGTCTAGATTATCTGGTTCACGGCTCTTTTCCCCTACGTCCTATTGGTGGTGTTGTTTGGTCGTGGAATATCGCTAGAGGGTGCTTCTAAGGGATTACTTTATTACGTCAAACCAGACTTTGAAAAACTTTGGAATCCTCAGGTAAATTAAAAGTAATTGACTAAAGCACGTTAAAGTGTAGAAATGTTAAGCGGGTCCAAACATCTTACGATTTTTCTGAAGACATAAAAAAATGATATCGGGTGGAATTCCAGTCTTTGGCTTAGCTTGCCAAAGGAGATGATTCAAACATCTAAATTACTGGTTTTCATATGATGCATATCTCAATTCTAGTCTCGTTGGTTGATAAAAGTGAAATTTGATAGAACTTGGAGCCGTAACGTTCATTGTATTCGAAGAGCCAAAATTTAAAAGTTGAAATATTAAAGGTGGTATTCCTCTAATGTTAGACATTTTATAAAAATCGACGTTGGGTATGAGTTCAAACCATGAGTGTGCATTAATACAGATACATTAATCAAAAACGTTTGTAGGTCTTAAGTGCTGTAACACTCACGTATCGATTCATAGGAATGTAAAGACGAAACTTAACGTTTCTGCCAATTAGCAGATAAAACTCTGTTTGTTACCATTTTAGTTGGAAAGGGAACTTGATCTGGTAGCTTAGCCGGTTGGTCGAGTTTGAATCCAGCCTCGTTTCAGTTTTTGCTTCTTAATAAAATTACCACGTGTAAATTCATGTTTATTTACGGATGGTGTAATATCAAAATAATTTAAGATATTTTAGAAATAACTGTGGGTGTTTTATAACGTAGAACAAACACTGTTTCTTCGGGAAAATCGCCCTATCCGTCGACTTACAAGTGTGGTTTCAACTAAATACTTCTTTTTCTATACATGATAAAAATATCATATTTATACTTGTACGTTTTTAGGATGTCGTAGTTAGTTCTTTATAATATCTAACACTGATCTCTATTCGTCTATATAAAAAAAACACAACAAAGTTTATGAGGACGAACCACTTGCTAGCTGAAACGGATGCTTCATATTTGACACTCTGTTAAGTTCTTTATTACAAATTACTTTTTTATACCGATACATTTATATAACCATTTTATTTTCCGTGCCTTATTTGAACTAGGTTAACAGTTCTGTTTCTGTTGAAGGTGTGGGTGAAGGCAGGCACTCAAGTTTTATTTTCATATGGAATTGGCATTGGAGCTAACATAGCGCTTGGAAGTTATAACAAATATCATCATAACTTTCACAGGTAAGAAGCTAAGCTCAATTCAGAACTATAACTAAGTTATACCTTGCATTGAAAAATATATGAAATTCTATATTTTATTGGCCCGGCATGGCCAGGTGATGAGGGCGCTCGACTCGCAATCTGAGAGTCGCGGGCTCGAATCCCCGTCACATCAAACATGCTCGCCCTTTCAGCCGTGGGGGCGTTATAATGTGACGGTCAATCCCACTATTCGTTGTTAAAAGAGTAGCCCAAGAGTTGGCGGTGGGTGGGTATGACTAGTTGCCTTCCCTCTAGTCTTTCACTGCTAAATTGGGAACGGTTAGCGCAGATAACCCTCGTGTAGCTTTGCGCGAAATTCAAAAACAAACATTTATAAAATAGGTGATAAAATTAATAACTATCGCGCCGCACCGCTATATCTTTTACTCGTTAAATATAAATAAGTGTTATTATGCATATTACATTATTTTTTTATTTAATTTCGGATAAAATTATTTTTAAATAAAATTAAATTATCTTACATTCTGTTGTTAATCATGTTAGAAGATGTTATAGGATAAAAGCATAAATAAGACACTAATTCTAAGTTCGCACTTTGAGATCATGTAATAGCAATATCGTTGTCATGAAGATGATAAAAGGTTCGGCTAGTAAATGTGTTAAAATCATATCAATCAACGGAACACACAGAGAACACTTTTCGACGTCGAGTTTGTTTATAATGTCTGTATTATGAAGAGTTTTGTATGTGTTAAAGTGATTACCAAATGTTTGAAATTCCCTTGAAAGTTGGTCTCTATATGATGCTTATTATCGCCATTTCTTAATGATGGAGGAAACAAACTTTGTCTGACAAATAAATTATGACTCGCAGATTGCACAAAAAAGTTGTTTTCACGCATTTAAAATTGTGTATCTAAATTAAAAAGCGTAAGTATAATAAAAGCATATATCTATTTATTTGATATTCTGAATGAAGAATAAGGAATTACAACAAACTTCGATCTATAAAACAGCTGATTCGTGTATGTTTAATTTGTAATGTATATTTGAGCAGTGTGGACTATACACTATTTCCCTGTTTATTTATCTTATTATGTATACTATATGCTATTTATTACTTTTAAAGATATATTAGATACGTGGTTCAACTAAGAATTCAACTTATTACCACGTAATTGTATGTACTTGAAAGATAACCTATACACAACATTTTAAAATTTCAAATTACCATGAAAAAATGTTATACTTGCGACGTGAAGTAACTGTACATAAACATGAAACATGTTTACAAAACATATCTTTTTTTTTTGCTACAGACAATGTTCGTAAGAGGTCAAGCGAATGTAGTAGGTTTGGAAATAATTACTAACGACATTCTTCACTGGTTATAACAGTCGTAACTGAATATGAGCAGCACGGAACCATACTGGAGGGTAAATCAACAATTCCGCTTTAAGCCTATTTCCTGGTCCTTTGCTTTCAAACTTCCTTATTACTATAATTCTATCTTTCCGTCTATGTCTAGTAGAACACTTATGAAAGCACAGTCTAAATAACGAACTGTATTACCAGTTAGTATGTATACACTGAAGAAAAATTCATTTTAGATTTCATTCTCGTAGTATGCAAGTAACTGTGTGTTATACTGCTGTACTTAAAACACGTGTAAAGTAAAACACAAAAACAATATATTTTATTTTTAAGACCATAAAACTCTACATATACTGTTTTTGTCGATGTTTGTTTCTCAACATTTTGAAAGATATTTCAAAGTTTATAAATATAGAATGAAGTTTTCAAAAATATTCACCACATAGTCAAAAGTGCCAAAAAAATATTGAAACAAGATTAAAAAAGTTGAAAAACAACAACATATGATAGATGATTTTCAATATGTTGTTATACTGAAGACCTTGAATTGTGTATCATGATGATAAAAATCCATTGGCACTTTTAATTATCTCTTGTAGCCTGAAGACTGAATTATACTAAACTTTGTGACAACAGAAACCCCTTGAAACATGTAATTGTCCCTGTAACTTGAAAACTAAATTGCACTAAACGTTATAACGACAGAAACCTTTGGCACGTTTATTTGTCTCTGTAGTCTGAAGAGTAACTTCATGATGACAAGAAATCCTTGGAAGTTTTAATTGTCTTTTGTAACCTGAAAACTAAATTCTACTAAACTTCATGATGACGGAAACCCATTGTTAACTTTAATTGTCCCTGCAACCGGAAGAGTAAATCATTCCAAATTTAATAACTACAGAAGAATACTCAGTTTACCAAGATAATCAAAACACTCAATATTTTATATCGTTATAAGGTGCAATTAATTTTTTTTATGCACCAACATTGCTAAAACATCAAGGAGTGGACTGTCCTTCAGTATTCTAAAACTCCTTGATGTTTTAAAATATTTCAGTAGACAGAAAACCCAGAACTGCTATTATTTTCTTGCTGCTAGAAACATTTAGTCTTTTTGATCATCACTTTAAAGTGAAGACTCAGAGTAACTCATGATTAATAACAATGATGTTACAGGCTCTGTGCTGCCCTTGGAACTAATTCTTCCATCGTCCATCAAACTCATTTTGATGGACACAATTACCCAATATTGCACGGACTGCAGTTTTTATTATAATAAACTTCTGTACAAGGACTGCAATGCCAGTTTTAGATCACATATCTTGAGAAATTTTCCAGGCCCCTTCACTGTCTCTGGGCTCTGTTACATGACCACCACGTTTAAACTAATTACAGATACAAACGTCCATTGGAGCTGCATCAGAGGACTTGACTGGGTATTTGGTTGAATGGTGTCACTGCGATTTCAGTTTCTTCAACCAACTTTTTCATGATCGGCTGACTTTACAGGTATGTGTTTGAATGGAACTATTGCGATTTCAATTTCTCCAGCCATATTTTTAGTGAAAACGGTTATTGATTTCGTGATGTGAACTTTAGACTTACGAACCTTCTTTGTTTTAAATCCGTATTTATATTTTCATGGTCAGCTTTATCACAATTTTTTTTATATGCGAAAACATCTGTTAGCTGAGTTCTTGCACAGATCTTAAAATACAATGTTGATAAACGGAAACATCGGTTCATGTAGATATGTAGATCTTGAAAGTAGAGTTGTTCAAAACTTGAAAAATAGCGTGATAACTGGACCAATTGTTGGTTGAGATGCTGCAAAGGAAATATCTGCTGAAGCTTTTTGCCAGACACTAATCATAGCAGAACCGCCTGGAAAATGATCTATAGGAAATAGTACAGCTTATAAAATGAATCAGATCAACGTAGGCCGGTAAGGCAATCACTGATTGGCATGTCTTTAAGCCAATCAGG